CAGACTGGCCTTCACCCTCAGGCCACACCATGCTTCACCACAGAGGCTGTGCCAATACCGACTCCTCCCTTGACCCAGACAGGGCTTCACCAGAAACCCCACACCATCTCATCCATGAAGGTCCCATCTAGTAACTTTTATTACAAATGTGATTTTATACTGGCCATAGAATTAATACTAATCAATATGATAAGAAAGGAGTATTGTAAAAAGATAGCAACAATTAGATAGCTATTAGATGCCTTAGTCTAGTTTGGGGTTCTGTTACCAGGCAGATATACATTGTGTGAAAATGTTTAAAAGTGATTCTTCTTATTGGAAAACATTCTTTGAAGTATCATTAAGGTTTCATGAGTGATAATTTTATTTCTAGAAAATTCGTGCACATTTGTGCCCATTAACTTCAAAAAACATTAGTTAATTTAAATCTTCTGTTTTCTTTGAGGAAAGAGTTTTAGTGTATAAAAAGATAACTTTCAACTCATCTTTCCAATTAATAATTTTTGAGCTGCTTACCTTACTATGTACCAGAGATTTTTGTAACAGAAATTTTCTACCAGAATCCACTCTGAATTTCCTCCTTCCACTAAAGTGTGCTTTGAAAAATGTTGAAGTGAGATTATACAGGTGAAATGCCAGAAATAAAAACATATTTGAGATCATAACAAAATTATGATGACGACCTCACCCAAAGTGCTTTTTATTTTCTAAAAAGGAATATAAGCCTATTTAACTGCAGATTTTCTGAAGACTAGAAGACAAAAATATAAGAAATTCCCTGTTATACCATGGTTCTGAAAACAAAACAAAAACAAACAAAGACAACATAATGAGACATATGGGAATGAGGAACTTGTACATGTGATATACAGTGTAAAAAATACATTGAATCACATAAAAATAATTTTGGTCGCGTTGTCTTGTTGTTCAATATATTTCTTTGCAAAAATTGCTCTTTGTTAGGCTGTGACTTAATATAGGTCTCAGCAGGGATCTGCCCAGGTAATTCTGTAGTTAGTATTTTTCATCTTTTCAACGTCATCAGAATGAAAATCTCCTCACACCTTAAGACACATCTGCAACAGCATTAAACATACCCTCCTATTGGTCCAACAGTGTAATCCAGACCTGTGTTTTACCAAAGCTCTGTATGTGGTATGCTATGGTTTATTCAGGCTAAAGAGCCAAAGTAACTCATATTTGAGATTAACCCCACGATCTTGTGCTAGGCTTCCCTCAGAGTAACCCCAAGAGAGAGAGAAAAAAAACACAGGTTGCCATCAACCCTGCCCACCCTTAAGAAAGCAGAGCAGTTACCCAAGTGTTCCAGGAGCAGGACATACCAATAGTTCAGAAAAAGGCCAGAGAGGTTAAGGTGGACTCAAACGATTCCTGTAACTGCTTCTGTGGAAATTCCTTAAACTTGTTTGTTCAATACTATAAAAGCTGTGCAGATTTTGTGCTCTGGGACTCAGCATCACCTGTTACCAGGTGCGCGGAGGACCAAGCTTGAGCTTGCAAATAAACAACTCTTTTGCTGTTCACATTGGTCGTGGTCTCTGGTGATCGTTGGGGATCCTAAGTCCATACAACATTCCTGTTGGCTCGTCTGGAATCTGCCTCATAAGACCCTCCAGACACACCACCACAGAATCCCAAAAACCCAGCTGTTAAGTCAAGGCATTGCCGTTCTGTATATTTGGTTGCCTGCAGGTTCTGTATCTATAATTCTGGTTTCCTGAGGAGTCTGTACTCTGATTGGCAAGGAGTCTTGGTGGACACAATTTAAGACTGCCAATGGGGTCTGTGAAGAGACGTCCCCAGACCCTTCTGGGTAGATTGCTGTTTAATACAGACGTTTTTTTGGGAAACTCTCAGTCTGTAGACTGGCACTTTCTGGTTGTCGGCAATTTACAACTCTGCAGTGTGTCTTGGTAAGTAGTGTCTTTGTATTGAATGTTGTTTGTCATTTGGGGTTTATCTTAGCCTTAGGTCTTGGCCCGGGGGGACAGAGTATGGGGGAGAATCTACCAGTTGGAGAGGATGGTTGCTAGGGACTTATTTCCCTTGCCCCCAAATGACTGGGACTTCTCTTCCACCTTGGAAGGACCCTGGGTCAACAAATGTTGGTGGGATGTCACCTCATTCACTGAGACCTGATTGTTTTCTGTTCTATGTTCCTGAGATAGGGAAGTTCTGGTTGGGAATGGCAGGCTCACTCAGCAGACTCTGGATTCAGCTTGATGAGTGAGAATGGCACAGAGTTCTGGTAGGGATAAATTCAGCCTTTGGTTATTGTCTTCTCTAATTCGGTTTTAGAATTGGTACTAGTTTTAATTGTGGGTTTTTGTTTTTTGTGTTTTTGTTATTTATTTGAACATCGCTGTGGAAATAAAATTTCCAGCTTCTAACTGGGTTCAGTCACAGAGAAGGATAAGTGCCTAACTTTGACTTTTCAGCTAGTCTCAACAATGTAATGAGCTCTTGTCTAAAATTGGATAAAAGTGGTTGAACAAGGTTACAGTCCCACCAGCAATGCAGTAAGGTTCCCTTCTGTCCTAATGCCCTCCAGCATCTGTTGTTATTAAGTTCTTGACTCTAACCATTCTAACTGGAATGAGGTGGTATCTCAATGTTGTTTTGATTTGCATTGCTTTAATGGCTAGGGAGGTTGAGCATTTTTACATGTGCCTATTGGCCATCCTTCTTTCCCTTTCAGAAAAGTTTCTCTTAAAGTCTTTAGCCCATTTATTTATTGGGAAGTTGTTTCTTTGAAGATTTGTTGTTAGGGGACTTAATTTTTTGAGTTCCAGGTATATTTTAGATATGAGACCCTTGTCCTTTGCATGGTTAATGAAGATCTTCTCCCAATCCGTGGGCTTTCTTTTGATCTTGCTGGCTATGTCCTATGCCATGCAAAAGCTCTGCAATTTCATGCAATCCCATTTGTCCAACTTTTCTTTCATTTGTTGTGTTTCTGGGTCTTTATTATGAAAATGTTGGTCTGTGCCATGGAGACCTAGGGTTTCTCCTATTACATTCTGTAATGATTTCAGAGTGTCTGCTTTGACTCCGAGGTCTTTGATCCATTTGGAGTTGATTCTGGTGCAGGGTGATATATAAGGATCTAGCTTTATTTTTCCACAAATAGTTAACCAATTTTGCCAGCACCATTTACTGAAGAGGCTGTCTTTCTTCCATTCTATTTTTTATACCACCCTTATCAAAGATTAGATGGCTACAGATCTGTAGGTTCATTTCTGGGTTTTCAATTCTTTTTTTTAATATCAAAATACATTTTATTCTGGACCTCTTTCAGATCTGATTCAAATTACAGTTGTCAAAGCAATGCAATGCAAAGGGAAACTGCAACAACAACAATAATAAATGTACCTAGAAAGGATAAAAGAGTCATTGGGGACTAATCATTGTGATGTGGAACCAAATACATTGTAAGTGTAATTAACATGATCCAGGACAGCATAGAACATCTTCATCAGTCTTTCTTACACAATAATCATGAAAACTGAACAATAAGTTCTTTAACATGTACAAAACACTGACATTGGCTGGATTACACTTTTACAACAGTTTTAAAGTTAACCGGATAACTAAAAAATGATGCAGACATCTTAATCAGGTGCTACAGGTAGGCTCACAGAATTAGACCCAAAGGATTTGGAAAAAATCTAAATGAAAACATTATAGCTACAATGTCAAAGTTAGGAAAGAAGAAAATTAATTCTGTATTCAAGGATTATAGAGCTACAAAATGCAGTCTGTTTGTTTTTGTCTGTAATGAGATGGATAACTACATCAGACTAGATACAACATGCAGAACATTTTCTTGAACTTATCCAGAAAGTCCAAAGGAAACATCATGAAGCAGCTCACTAGAAAAGAAAAATATGCCCTAGTTTAGTTATTCACCCTGCTTCAACACTGTCAACGTAAAGGCAGAAATAAAGGATGCTATCAATGCCTCAGAACTACTGATATAAGACATCAAATTTATACATCAGTGTATTAAAAAAGTGAATACCTCCTCTTTTTCCCTCTCTTCTACACTGAAATAGAATCATGTTAAAAATTTATATTAAACGTGACACTCAGAACTACTACTGGAAAGAGTAATTCATAAGCTCCCTACCCTCCAACCACCTCTGCTGATTCAGAGAAGGGAAGGGAAGGGAACCAAAAACAAACAACAACAAAAAAACCCAGGGTCTCTGTAGGTTTGCTGCTATTCCCCAAAATGTTAGTGTTTGCTGCCGTGCCACAATGTTGGTCCAGTGAAACATGATTTCTGCAAAACTGTCAATAGTAATTCACCATTTGCAAGTACCGTCTTTCGTTTGTGAGCTGGAACACAGGTTCTGTAGAAACATACAATGTGCTTAAGAAAATGAAAGTGGTCTTAAAAGAGTAAATAGCACTGCATGAGATTTGTTTTTCTAAGCATCTAGTAAAACTTGTCATTTTCGCTCTCTCAAAGTATGGTCATTTATGATTCCTTCAATTGTCAAAAATGCACAGCCATCTTTAGGCCAATAATCATTAATAGTTTACATTACTCTTAACAAAATCATTCTACATAAACAGATATCTCCTTAAAAATAGTACTCTCTCATTAAATCTAATTTTACAGAATGAAATTTAAGGAAAAAAGGTGTGTTTTATAAGTTAAGTGAAAAAGCACAAAACTTTGGCCTTTCTCTTGACATTTTTAGGTCAAAAAACAAAAAACCTTCATGTAATTCAATCTAATGGTTACTTTTTGCACCATAATTTGTTCTTTACACCACAAAAGGAAGCACTTTCAGTATCTGTAAAAAGTGTTTAATCCTAAAACTTACTTTACCTAGAGAATTATTCTTTAAAACAGAAATTGATACATGCTAAGACCTATTAGGAAATTACCAGTTTCCACTTCTAAAACTCATTTTAAAATCAATTATATTTCCTGATCAATTACAGGAAAGGGGGATTAGAGGAAAGATGAGTACTTAAGAGACTTCCTACATGGAGAAGAAAGAAATTTTTCCTTTATGACATTTAAGAGTGGCAGCTGCTCCTTATTTTATTTAATTCTCTGAGAATGCAGTAAGTTTTCCTTCCTATTTTCCTTACGATTAAATTTCATAATGGTAGCATAAAAAATAATGATTTGCAGTGAATACTATAGAAAAATTACTGCATTCAGCTGATCTTCAGGAATAAATTGTTCTCATGAGAAAATGGGAGGAAAAATGAGTAAGAAACTTCAAATATAGAACTTTTACAGGCTGTGAAACTTGGTCTCTTGCAATCATGTTATTGCTCAATTAGAGACAATCTTATTCATGTCTATTGGAGCAGCATGGTGGCACACAGCAGGCATTGGTGATGTTGAGAACAGCAGCAAAACCCAACACATGGATGCTCATGAAGAACCAGCTTGTGAGATGGACACCTTTCAGAGAAGGTTATACTTAAAAGACTCTAGACTTCAGGATAATAAAGCTCTGAATTTATACTCTTTAAGTGTATGTCCTATCTTGGCTATTATGATTTAAGTAAAATAGCAGAAGAATAAAAAAAAACAGAAAAGATGACAATATCATAAAAATGTAGCTGTTTATTTTGGCAGCTATATTGCAGAATTTCTTGACTATCTTTTAAATCAGCTGGGAAAAAAGTCATTAACTGTATCCAAATGAATAAATTGTCCATATCAAAATACAAAAGTACTATCAATAATCACCTCTGACTTTCAGATTTAAATTCAGTGCAATTGACAATGCATCTCTAAAAGAAAATGCAGCTTAAAAATACTCAAAACATTTGTGTCTATTCCTGGGAGCACATTTAAAAATTAATGCACAGATTTTTTATTTTTATTTATTTTTTTAAACAATGAGAAGTCAAACACAGATGTGGACTTCTAGCAATAAATGCAGTATACCAAGTGCCAGCATATTAGGTTTCCTACATAAGTCACAGAGGAGTTAAGTTCTAAATATCTAACGTGATCCAAAACCCTAAAAACAACTGGCACAAAACCATCGTGAATGACTGCCTCTCTGGATGTAAATTTTTAAAAAACATTACAGTATCATAGTATAGTGAAATTAAGTGTACGTATTCTTTTCACCAATAGAAAATGCTACCCTACCTTAGTAAACTAAGACTTGCTTCCATCAATGCTATTTTGTAAAAATAACAAAACAACAGATGCTGAAAATAAAAATTGCATTAATTGGGTTAAATCAATTTCTAGTTCAACTTAGAACATAGGTTAAACTTTTAATAGTAAAGCCCTCAAAATAATTAGTAACAGAAGTAGTGTTATAAATTTTCTAAGCTTGATTATAGGCAATTCCTTAATTAAAAAATTTTAAGATAAAAATTTGACAACTACTTTCTTTAAAATTGATAGTCCTGGATTCTTATGCAGATCATGACAAACCCTATTAAATCACACACATAGGCATGGCTCATGCTAACATTTATCTATTACTTTACTTTTAGCTGCATGAGCATAAGAGGAATTTTGATTTGATACCTATATTTTTTAAGAAAATACTTGATATAAACAGAGTGAGGGACAGGATATAGTAGTGATTTCTGGGAAAAATAGTAGTGTAAATCTATCTATCTATCTATCTATCTATCTATCTATCTATCTATCTATCTATCTATCTATCTATCTATCTGACTATCTATCTATCTATGTAGTCACGAGTACCACAAATGCAGAGTCAAAGCAGCAGTGAGGTTAGTGCAATCACTTTTTTTTCTTTTTAAAATTCTGAATCACTGCTATTTAAAAACACCTTGAAGCAAGTCTTTTGTCTTAAAGATTGTTTGTAAACTAAGGTAGCAAATATTTTGCCATGTAATGGCAGTTGTTATATGCCATTATCTTGTTTTGTATAAAAGAATATAACATGAGAGATTTTTAATACTGAAGTTTGGTTACATTACATATTTAAGCTTCTATTCAGAATGATGGACACTTGGAGAAGCTATTCCTCATCCAGAAACATTTTAATCTCTTAAAAATCAAAGCAAAACAATTTTTTTAAAAAGCCCCAAACTACTTTGCTCCTTTTTGCAATAGTGCACATTTTATCCATAATTTACTTATGGTTAAAAAGCATCAGAAGATTTTTTTATCTTCAATATCGTACTTAAAGAAAAACAAAACATTTGTGCCCTTCTAGTATTTAATTGGCAGAAATATGTCCCCCAAAATAACCTATTGTATTTAAGCCACATCACTAAAATAAAATATAGTGAGACAGAGAGAGAAATAGAGACAGAGAGACACAGAGAGAAATAGAAATAGAAACAGAAGCAGAGCATCCTTCTTTACGGATGTTTCTTGTAGGTTGACATGACCAAAGTCCTATGCTTTCTTTTAACTTCCAATGCCCCTTTCCACAATACGCACCAATTGAATATATTCTCTGGGAGCCAAAAATGTACCAAAAATCTACCTCTTCTAAAGAATGCTTTAAAGTATTTTTAAGAAAATTTTTATTGTTTAAAAGGTGAAAAAAAATATAAACAAGAAACTGATTCACTCCCTTACTTCATGCATCCACAATCAAACAAAAATCAAAATTTAAAAGCAAGAACAAACTACTGCTGCGAGTTTTGTTATGTCCATTTTCTCTGTCCATTTACTCTGCTCACTACTGAAGGGAAAAAAGAATAGAATCAGTGGTGTCTGCTGATTGATTCAAAGGGGAGAAACAAGGCTGTCATTAGTAAACAAACTCTGGTACATATATGGTCTGCTTTTATAGCGTATATTTATTTCTCTCTTCTGTTTTTCATATCCCAAACTACTAAATGCTATTTTAGTGGCACAGCAGATTAGATTCCAGCACTTGGTGAACAGAATTCACAAGCTGTGACAAAACTCTGTCATCTTCAGGGTGCAATTTTGTATATATACATTGCATGGATATACTTCTCTTAGATTTGGCTATAGTGGACTGGCCATGGTTCAGGTGGGACTGTAGCAGTACATGGGTCAAGGACAGTCATTTTGGATATGTACACATTCATAGTCGGCCCATGGCTTCCAACTAGTAGCGCTATTTCTGGGTCTAATACACAAACTGAACCATCTGATGCACTGGCTCAAAATTTGTCTCCTGCTGCGTTCCAGCAAACTTCAAAAATTCCACCTGTTTGACTCATACATATACTAGCTATTGCAATGCTTGGTAAGAAATGTACGCATTATCCTGCCCATATAATTGTAACCCCTCTGTACAGTATGTTCACAAATAAAATAAAATTAAATTAAAAAAAGAAAGTTATAATAAAAGAGCAAATATAAAAAAAAATTCCACCTGTTCCCCCATAGCTGTGAACTAGAGCAACTGCTTGTGTTTCAATTGTGCACACATTTGTCAAAAGAACCACTTGCCAGATACTTGCCATCAGGACTGAAAGCAACACTGTACACAGGTTCTTGGTGTTTTGTCAAAATATGGATGCTAATCCCTCGGTCTACATCCCATAACGTAACAGTAGAATCAAAGAACGCACTTGCTAACATAAGGTTGTCATTGGATTATTTGTCCCTGGTCCTGTTGGACTTCATTTGATAGTATAAATTTCTTTATTATGTGCTTGCAAATCATGTACACAATTATCTTATTTCATGCTCCATATCTTCAAAGTTATGTCATCAGAACAGGAGGCCAGAAGATTGTCAATGGGGTCCCACTTGATAGCATTTACTTCATTTGTATGTCCCTGGAATGTTTTAATAGATCTGTGTTGTCCTAATTTGCAGACATGAATGCACAAATCTGTACTACATGAAGCAAAGGTGTTGTTGCTCTGCCAGTCAACATCCAATGCTGGTGCCGAATGAAAAGGAAACTTCTGCTTGGCTTCACAATTATTTGTGTTTTCAATTCTATTCCATTGGTCCTGAGGTCTGTTCTTGTGTCAGTACCAAGCTGCTTTGATTGCAATGGATTAAATAGTAGAGTTTGAAATTTGATATTGATATTCCTCCAGCACTGCTCTTTCTGTTGAGGATCGTTTTTGCTATTTGGGGTCTTTTAGTATTCCATATGAATTTTTGGATTGCAACTTCTATTTCCTTGAGGAATTATGTTGGAATATTGATAGGTATCACATTGAATTTGTAAATAGCCTTGGGAAGTATTGCCATTTTCACAATGTTGATCTTTCCAATCCAGGAGCATGGAAGTTTTTGCCAATTTCTAAGTTCTGTTTTGATTTCATTTTTCAAATTTTCAAAATTTTCATCACAGATGTCCTTCACTTCTTTGGTTAAGTTAATTTCTTGGTATTTTATTTTTTGTGGAGCTATTACGAATGAAGTTGCTTTCCTAATTTTAGACATACTTTTCTGATTGTTGGCATACAGAAAAGCCATTGCTTTTTGAGGGTCAGTTTTATACCCTGCTACTTTGCCAACGTTTTCAATCAGCTTGAGCTCCCCTATGATCCAGCAATCCCACTTTTGGGCATTTACCCAAATGATCACAAACAAGACCACACTAAAGCTACCAGCACGACTATGTTTATTGCAGCATTATTTACCATAGCTAAGATATGAATCCAACACAGATGCCCTGCAGTAGATGAATGGATCAAGAAAATGTGGTATATATACACAATGGAATTCTATGCCTCCATCAGAAAGAATGACATTGGCCCATTTGTTAGGAAATGGAAAGACTTGAAAAAATTATATCAAGTTAAGTAAGCCAGGTCCAAAAAAACATAGTTTCCATGGTTTCCCTTATTTTCAATAAGTAGTATATGTATGAGTCAAGCAGAAAAGGTCAGATAAGGTGATGTTCGGGAAATGAACCTAAGATATGTATTCAAATGTTTTTTTTCTTTCATGCGATTGTTTCTAACACGTTTATAAGATTATTTCTTTGTAGCTTTGTATGTCCCTCCTCCACAGTATAACCCCTTCTTTCACTGTATTTGATGTCGGTATAATTTGTGGAGGGGAAGGGAAAAAATAAATCGCTTATATAGGGATACATTTGGACCCATTGCAACAATGAGATGTACAAGTCGTTATGTTGAAAACGAACTTTACAACTGTGGTGGGGGGGAGGAAGGGAGGAGAGTTGGGGGAGTAGGTGGTGGTAGGCTAGGAAGGGATGGGAAGAGAAAACAAAGGAGAAGGGTACAATGCTTGATAAGAAATGTACTCATTATCTTGCCCATGTAATTGTAACCCCTCTGTACAGTATTTTCACAATTAAAAAAACACATTAAGAAAAATAAATAAATAAAAATAAAATTGGATAAAAATCAGGCCAGTTTAGTGTCAGGCTCTCCCCCCCTCCCCCTGCATCCTTCCTCCAACAGAAAGGATTCAAGACCACTTGTTGAATTGCCTTGCTAAACAAGCAAACCCTGGGAAAATGAAGCTCTACAAAATTACTTCGTTTAAAAGAAATATTTTCTTAATTTTTTGTTTGAAAACTTTAGAAAATGTACGTACAACTGATTTTGATTTTGGGTTGCTTGAAGATTTGAGTGTGTTTTGTATGTGTTTGTGAACTTGTTCATGATAGAAATTGTTAGCATTTTGTAACAATTGTGTGAGTTTAATTTTAAAATTCAAAAACTTATGAGGTTTGACATTACCAAAACATTTTAAAGCATTTTCACATTGTTTAAAATAGGTTTTTGTAAGGATTCTTTAACTTGAAAATTAGAAAATCTGGTATTTTAGAATGCATAAAGCTGTTTTTTTTTAAATTTAATTTAATTTTATTTGTGAACATACTGTACAGAAGAGTTACAATTACGTGGGCAGGATAATGCATACATTTCTTACCAAGCATTGCAGCCTCCTCCTTTGTTTACCCTTCACATCCCTTCCCAGCCTCCCCCCTCCCCCGCAATCCCAATCCTTCTCCTTCCCTCCCCTCCCCCCCCCCACCGATGTTGTAAAGCTAGTTTTGGACATGACAACTTGTACTTCTCATTGTTGCAACAGGTCCACCTGTATCCTTAAACAACTGGTTTTTCCCCATCTCCTCCCTCCCCCACAGTATAAACCCTGCTTTCACTATATTTGATGTCAGCATAAAGCTGTTTATACTGTAATCAATATATCTGGCTTAACAAAAAGGAGAAACTTAAAAGCTAACAGAATACCTTTCTGTAGGAGTGAATGGTGAACATGCAGAAGTGCAGTTTAGCTGGTCATGCATGGTGGAACAGGCCATGGGAGGAGTCCACGCATGGTGAAAGAGGACAAGCTGGCACAAGCACAGTTCATCTAATGCTAAAGAGTCGGATTGGGTGCGTGGCCTTTCCACAGGAAGGGCTAAGTAGCCGATCTTTATTCTTTCACTTTTTCCTGCAGATAGACACTGGAGACATGATGGTAAAAATGAGTGATGTGAAGATCTGATTAACATTGCTAAAACTGCCTCTTGGATGTGTTAAAATTAAAAGTAAGAAGGCTTTAAAAAGAGGGTTAAATAGTTTATTTGTACAACGTGATTTGCTCTCAATGATATTCTGCCATTGGATATGTTTTTTTTTAAGGCATAAAGGTGTTAAGTCTAGATTCTTGGTAAAATGATGGTGATTGTAATTTTTGCATTAAGAAAATATGTTATTTGAGTTTAAACGATTTCATGTGTATCTGTTTTAAAACAAACAGCCAAGAGGAAATGAGTAACACACCTAGCCTTGAGAGTTCAAGGGATTTTTCAAAGTGCAGCTAAAAACTAAAGTATAGAATATTAAAGCAAATTAATAGGAGGCTCATAAATTAGGAATTGATTTCTGTATATAAAGTTTAAAAGTAAAATTGTTCTAAACATTTCCCTCAAAGTACAAAAAGGAAAAATTTGGATTACCAAAATAATTGCTTAATTACTATTTCAGTTTGCTCTCATAGGTATTTTTTTTAACAGTTCCCAGCAGGCTGACAAAAAGGAGTGAGGATTCTTGTAATTTGTCAGATGTAACTTTGGTTCTTAGTAAGTTTCAGGTAAGGATTCGCTTAAAAGCTACTTCTATGTTGATCACCTTCTTGCTTTTACTTGGAATAAAGTGGCATTTTTGCGACTCATTGATTTGCAACTGGTTCGAATCCAGCTCGGGCAGAAAAAGGTCAGTGAGAGACTGTCACCTCTACTCAGCCAGCAAAAGGCTGAAAGAGTAAGCAGAGCTGCTTTCGGATTCAAAATGGCAGAATGTGAGCCATGAACTGTAGAACTTAGGGACAGCACTCAGGCCCTAAGTTCAAGTCCAGCAACCAACTAAGGGAAATGCCAATGAGGCATTTTTCCCAGTGTGGAGAAGACACTCCTGGGACAAAAAGCAATGGAGGAGCATCCAGAGATTGTAAGCCACTGCTTGAATGGCAGAAATAATGTCAGATCCTAGAGTCATTTGTATATGGCCCTTCAAAAATTGGTCAGAGTCAGGAGGTCATGAGAAGATAGGTTGTAAGCATGCCTAAAGTCTATCACTTGTAAGGGACAGGAACTAGTCAGTCATCTATGATAATACTAAAAAGCTAAGGTTGTAAAATGTGGAGGATAGTTTAGATCCTAACCTCTGTATGTCCCCAAAGCTCTAATTGGCAGTAACTTTTGAGCTGACTCCAGCTACATGAAATTCATCTGCTCAGGAAAAATTTTGTAAACCAGAGAGTGTGTTTCTATTGATATCTGTCTGAAGGCCTGCATAGGTAACTCAGACATTCTTAGGTTACTAGAGATCACATTACTAAGCCATCCAGGAAGATCCTTTTGCAAACCAGAAGACTAAATAATCTACACTTCTGTAGTCAGAAAAAAGGTCTGTGAATTTGTCAAAAGTTAAAATGTTGTTCTTAATGACATCTAATCCTGGTAACCTCTTTGTAAAATAGGCTTAGGATATAAGTTCCTGGTTAGGTAGGATCAACACCCCTGAGTCAGCTTGAAGAAGTGACAGAAGATGAATCTTTGCTCACCATCGCCTTTTGAGAACAAGGGACCACAGTCACTTTTTTAAAAAAATGTGGCAAAATAGACAGAAGGAAAAGACATGGGAAAGAATAGTACAAGACTGAGGCTTCTATATCTGCCTAGAAAATCCTAGCCTTATTAAAAGAACTATCTCGTTGAAAAAAATTGTTATCTTGGTTAATTGTCCTGGTCTACTGTCTAAATAGTCTTAAAAACTAGTGGGGTCATAGCCTGCCAAGCCTATGCAATGTATCCTTAACCGGTCTGTGTGGGAATTTGCAGCCTAGCATGAGGTGTGACAGTCCCTTTGAGCCACTGAGAGACCCTGCTACTGCTGTTGCTGCTGCGCACCCTAATGAGTAAAGTTCAATGACAGCTTGACAGTCACCTGGAGGAAATCTATATCATCACCCAGACCACTCCCACACTGGTAAAAGTACACTCAACTCCTGCCTGATTCCATCACCTGAAAATGCTTCCTGGTTGAACGCTGCTAATACTAAGATCTTGTGGGACATTCTTTTGGTGATATCCAGTAACCTCTCTATTCCCACAGTGGATATTGTTGTCAAGTATATCACTGGCTTGCCTTACATACATCAGGGTCACAGCCTAGTTTGGCTCTGGTATGCTAATAACCTGCTTCCTCCTGGGTGTGTTTTAAAGATAAAGGAGAGTTTTTTTAAAAAACAATGGAAGTAGAGGGAGGAATGAGAACCAGCCCTAATCTGAGCCTTAAAATCTAGAAAGCTTTTCATCCCACTGGTGCCTTGAGGCTTTCTGAGATAACTTGGTTGCACAAGTCGAAGGAAAAATGGGCAGTTTTAAATTCTAGCCACAAAGGAGCTCAAGGAATTGTAAAGAAGAGGAGTGTAGTAAAGAAAGACTTAAGAAAGGAATTTGGGAAAAATTGGAATCCTCTAGATAAGAAATGATTTAAAAAGTAAGGATTGTCTTAAAATGTTCGTAAAGAAGACAAACATCAGAAAGTTTAAGTATGTAACATCAGAAAGTTTAAGTATGTAGCAAATGGTGTGAGTATGTCTTAAAATTGGAGCTTACGAGTACAGCTGGTATAAAGGTAAGTTAGGTGTGGTATACCGAGTCAGGATTGCTGGAAGAAAATGTAAGGGCCTTTGTTCCTGTTAATTTTGTTACTCACAAACGGACCTTGTAGACTGGTGTCCTTTGTAAAAAGAGAATCAGCACAGTCCATCTATTAGTTCTGAGATCCCAATACCAAACTGTAAATATAGAAGACTGTGCCAATTAGGAGACCATGATTGGTCCCCGATGTTCTAGAAGAGGAGAAAATGAAGAGCCAAAGTAACTCCAATTTGAGATTAACCACACCATATTGTGCTAAGCTGCCCTCAGAGTAACCCCAAGATAGATTAAAAAAAATACAGGATGCCACCAAACCTGTCCACCCTTAAGAAAGAAGAACAGTTGCCCAAGTGTTCCAGGAACAGGATAAACCAATAGTTCAGAAAAAGGGCAGAGCAGTTAGGGTGGACTCAAACCAATCATTTAACTGCTTGTGTGGCAATTCCCTAAACTTGTTTGTTCAGTACTATGAAAGCTGTGCTGATTTTGTGCTCTGGGACTCTTAACGTCACTGGTTACCTGATGTGCGGAGGACCAAGTTTCAGCTTGCAAATAAATGTCTCTTTTGCTGTTTGCATTGGTCGTGGTCTCTGGTGGTCTTTCGTGGGTCCCAAGTCCATACAACAGGGATTGATACAAAATGTCTCTTCCCAGGGAATTAAATGATGGCATTTATAACTAAAAGTATTTAGGGTCATTATTAACATCTAACACCTGCTGAGATTTTTATTTATACTTCTCTTTCTTCCTTTCTTTCTTCCTCCCATTCTTTCTTCTGCCCTTTCTTTCTTTTCTATTCTTTTTTCCTTTCTTTCTTTCTTTCTTCCTTCCTTCCTTTCTTTCTTCTTTTCCTTCCTTCCTTTCTTCCTTCCTTCCTTCCTTCCTTCTTTCTTTCCTTCCTTCCTTCCTTCCTTCCTTCCTTCCTTCCTTCCTTCCTTCCTTCCTTCCTTCCTTCCTTCCTTCCTTCCTTCCTTCTTTCCTTTCCTTCTCTCCTCCTCCTATTCTATTTTTCTTTCTTTCTCTTTCTTTTCTCTTTCTTTCTTTGCTTTTTTTTCTCTTTTAGGAAATGAGTATAAATTTAGATATTTCGTTGGCTGAACAAGTATTCTACCATTATAACAATACTTTTTTCAATGTAGTTACTTTGCTCATAGATTATCAATTTTGCTGAGGGCTGAACAGAGGCTAAGTTCTTCACTTCTGTCTGCCAAGTAACTAATATCACAAATGCATTCCAACGTCCCAGGCTTTAAGATGTTATGAGAATCTTATTACTTTCCTTGCACACTGGTTTTGAACAGTGATCTTCTCAATTTCTACCCCTTTAGTTAGTGATGTGAGCTCCAATACCCTGCCCTCAGTACAGATTGTCTACATGAATGATTGAAAGCAATTTCACTTTAATCTCTTTTTTTGCCAGTCCAGGGGCTGTTATAATTTTATTTCTAGACAATTTTTGTGTATATGTGCACATTAGCTTTAAAATGTTGCTTTTCACCCTTTTTTTCCTTTTTTATATTTTTTGGTCATGGGGCTTGAATTCCAGGCCTGGACAATCTCCCTAAGCTTTTTAGATAAATGCTCGCACTTTACCACTTGAACCACAGTGCCACTTCCGGTTTTCTGGTGATTAATTGAAGGTAAGAGTGTCACGGATTTCCTGCCAGGGCTAGCTTTGAACTACCACCTTCAGATCTCAGTTCCTGAATTGCTAGGATTACAGGCATAAGCCCCTGGCTCCCAGGTAAAATGTTACTTATTTTAAATTCTCTGATTTAGTTGAGGGACTAACATGAGTGTGTACAAAGGTAACTTTCAAGTCATCTCTCTAAATAATTTCAGAGATTTATTTTCATAATATTTATTCCAGTGATTAATAACAGAAGCTCCCACAGTAGCAGAATGATCCTTCATTTTCTCCTTCCCATAGGTATTATTGGAAGAAAATGAGAGATCTAAGTCGAAGTCAATATGTACTTGAAATTATGAAAGTTGATTTTGAAGACACATGAAGAGCCAGATTACACGATGTGCTTTTCATTTTCTAAAGAAAGGAATATCATACAAGTATATTTATTGACAGGCTTTTTCATCTGAAAAAAATAAAAAACCAATATTATGAAAAAGCTGAAGGGGATCAGCAGACATTTAAGTGTGATATAGAATTGGAGACTATAAGACATGAATTTATTCAGGTAAAATAATTTTTTTTTGGTCGGTCATGGGGCTTGAACTCTGGGCCTGGGTGCTGTCCCTCAGCTCTTCAGCTCAAGGCGAGCGCTCTACCACTTGAGCTACAGCGCCACTTCCGGTTTTCTAGTGGTTTATTGGAGATAGGAGTCTCACGGTCTTTCCTGCCCGGGCTGACTTTGAACCGAGATTCTCAGATCTCAGCCTCCTGAGTAGCTAGGATTACAGGCGTGAGCCACCAGCGCCCGGCCTCAGGTAAAATAATTTTTTGGGAAAGGTTATCTGTTCACTAAATTTATTCATTGTAAATTTTTTTTTTATTTATGTGCCTCTTAATATATAAATACATACATATGTGTATATATGTGTGTGTGTGTGTGTGTGTGTGTGTGTGTGTGTGTGTGTGTGTGTATATATATATATATATATATATACATATATATATGTATATATATAAAACAGCAGTATCTGTCCAGTGAACTGTATGATTAGGTAATTTCATCATGTCAAGTTCATCAAAAGGATGGATTTAACAACCCTGCAACACCACTGCACATGCAAACTTAAGTGTTCCCATTGTAAGCCAGACCTGTGTTTTATCAAAGCTTTGTATATACTGTGTTATATTTTCATTTAGGCTTGACACAAAATGTGTTTGCCCCTAGAAATAAATGATGGCATTATAACTACAATAATTTAGTGTAAATCTTTACATTGAAAACATGCTCAGTATGATTTACTTTTAAAAGTTATTGGTTTCCATAGAGTTAAACTGTTTTTGGTTTTAGTGTGAGAAAGTACTAAATTTATTCTTTTTTCAAAATATTGGCAAGTTTATTGTGAAAATATTGTCTAGTTGGATAACATTCAAGTTGATGATGCTCTGATAAAAAAGGAGTAATTGTTTCGAATTAGATGCCAAATAGTATTGATTCTAAAAAAAATTACTACATAAAATAAAGAATAATATTTACTGTAAAAATAGAGTGCAATTATATTTTATGCAGCTTATTTTAAAATTTAATTTTATTATCAAATTGCTGTACAATGGGGTTACAGTAATTGTAAGGTAATGAATACATAACTTTTCAAACTTGTTAGCCCCTCCTTCATTTTTCTCACAGTTTTCCTTCACCTCAGTACCCCTCAGAGTTGTAATGTACATTTCCAACATAATGTCATGTGAGTATTGCTATTGCATTGGTTTTCCTTTTGTCCTTTGTCTCACCATTTTGTTGTTGAACTTCCCTTCCCTAATTAAGGTAAATGTATACACAATACACAGGGCACCAAAATCAAATACAGCAGGGAACAACCATAAGGGAAAAAACCCAAAGAAAAAAGAAATCACATAATACGTTACAAGCAACAACTACAAACAAAATCTCTGTTCCCTATCTTGAAGTTCATTTTGCTCAGCATCAGCTTATATGGTCATATATACACATAAACCCACTGGAAAATAATAGTTGTGTGGACAGTATATCATGAAAACAGCATGTTAACTGTTTTTGATGGTAAAGGTTGAGTTAGGATTAGTGAATATGTGATTCTGATAAAGGAATTTCAAAAGAGTTTGAAAATTATGACAGGTATATTTTGATTGTTCAAACTTTTTAATAATTTAGCTTATTAAGAAAATTGCCTGGGAAAATAGGCTTTCATGCAAAGAAATCTATGGAGACTTAGTTAAGAGAGAGCAATGTGGGTGACGATAGCTCATTTTCACACTAAACAAACTTTAGAAATCTTACTGTAAATCCTGTAGGTTCCTTTGAGAATTGTCCTTAACCAGGAAATATACTCTCACTGTGTGAAATTCAAAGTTCTTAAAAAACTAAGATATCTAAATTTGTGAATTGACCTTTAACTACCAAAATAATTCTTTGAAAAAGATAATTTTGGTCAAAATATTTAGGGCGAAAGTGCCCTCCAATATGAAACAAGGTATTGGGTTCACACTTTTCTGTTTGTAACACTTTCTACAATGTCTTTGAACGTGAAGCACTGAAACACAGAAGAAAATCTGATTGGATACTCCAATGATTACACATTTCTAAGTAGCTCACAAAAATAATATCCTTATTAACATGAGATAGTAAAGACTTCTCTTATTACATAAGCCAAAAATGTTAGGATCAGAAAAGAATTGAGCAAATTGAAAGGATAAGAAAACAGTGTTCTTAGAAGACCTAGTTAAGCATATTGGCTTCAGAAGTGGAGGGAGGCCTAACCTTTATATATATATTGTCTTAATATTTTTGCTACCTAAAGTGATTTTATAGAGCCTATTTGGCTGACTACAATGCAGAACAGATTGAATGAAGACATGAAAATAAATTCTGCGTCCAAATGAGGCAACTTAAAAGAGTTTTAAAAGAGAAAATATGAAGATATAGTGGGGCGGGGTGGGGTTGGGGGACCTTATAGTCCTTCAGCTTCACTGGACTTGAAGCCAAGAAGCAGGGATTAATTGGAAATCAACCAAGAGCTAAGAGGAGGACATAGAATTAGCCATAGAAGCATTGTCCTTTGTAACAGACACTGTCATCCAAGGAATGGATGATTTAACTCTTCTTTCCCATACATCTTGCTGAACAAATGCAAGACCAAGAGAAGAATAATCTATTGAAATAATTTTTCAAAGAATAACTTCACTGAAACTGATATGGTATCTAAGGAGAGTCTTAAGAGAGAAGATAAAAGTGGAGTATTCTTTGATTTCCTCTAAGCATCTTGTTATCAAAATATATCTTTGAGGTTAGAAGTGATTGAACTAAAAAGTGGTGGAGTACTTATTTTTGTGGGCACTTTAGACACAAGAAGACTTTCAAGGTAAAAAAAAAATTATAGCCAAATATTTGTGATCACAGCATCTGGGAACAATTTTTTGGAGACAAAGTTTTACATTAGAGTTTGTCCTCATTAACATAGATGTGGGGTTGTCGTGGCAACCAAATGCAAGGGTGAAGTTTAATGGACTCTTGGACAAGTAAACAGCATGATAGAATAAAAAGGCAAATAATATTTAGTGAACTACTTTGACCAATTACTTTGCCAGAACAAAGAAAGAAAAATATAATTCAAAATCAGTTCACTTAAAAGTATGAAAAAAGAGTAGTGAAGAGAGATGAGAGAAAACATAGAGGATTGTTTTCTCCCCAGTGGACAGCACCTATTAGGTTTTTGATCTTGTTTCTTCCATTCTATCTTCAGAAGCTATCAAGTGTGGGTCAGGACTGCAGTACCCATTTCAGACAAAGAGAACTCACAGAAGAAAGATAATATTTGCAGCAGATGTAGGTGATTTATAACCTTAGACAATCTATTTAAATCTATTCAAAATTCTCCCCTACCCCGAACTGCCCTCTTTGAAAAGCATTGTTTGCTTTTCCCAAGACTGCCCTTCATTAACTCCTTAAAATTTTGAGAGGTCATATTCATACTCTCTAGGGATTGCTCTTTGGTTGTGAGTTTTATGTGTTTTTGTTTTTTGTTGTGTTTTTTAACTGAAGTTCAAAAGGTCGTGCAATTGTTTTTCAATTAAATATGTTCATCTAATTGTCCAATGCTCCTGGATCAGAGTTACTTTTTCTATCATTCTCAACCAACCCCCTTTTCAAGATTTATTTCAGATTTACCACTTCCTTTATCACATGTGTACATTGAGTATTCTAACTATACTTTCCACTTGTTCCATTTTTCATTCATTCTACGTCTGTACTATTATTCTTCTCTGGTTTCAATTTCTTGGTAGTCATTCTGGTAAACTGTTAATACTTTGAAAGTTTTATATACATTACATGGAGTTTCAAACCTGCATATATTTAAACTGATGTCAGCTTATATTTCCATAATTCATTCATCTGCAATAATAATTTGTAAGACTGTAGATGTGAAGGACCTAGACATGCTTTTATTCTCATCCATTTGGAAGAGTAATCTTTAGTCAAAAAGAAAGTTTTAAAATAGCTTAGAATGTATTCCTAATTACCAATTTTTATAAATGTCTTTGTACAATGGTTTGTGATTATTTTGTTTGAAATGGGATAATATCTACTACATATAAGTTTTGGAAAATGGAGAAAACTAAGATTTACTACTATCGAGGAATATGATACAAATAGAAGACAGATTTTATGTTTGTCACATCTCTGATGAATACTCATATTCAAGACTTAAAGTCATATTTCTTACTATGTTAGACAGATGGGGAAAACATAAAACAACATATGATGAGGCAACTATTTGTGACTTTTTCAAATGTACCTTCTTTAAGTGATGAAATTTAATTTATTAGCTAACATTTGGGTTTGAAATATAGGAGGCTGATCTATTTAACACATTTCTAAAAGGCATCTACTAACACACAAATGGTGGGCGGAACTATTTCTATACTTTAATGAATAGTTGAGCCTGTTTGGCATTGGTGCTGGGTAAATAAATCAACTCTATTGTAACTTGCTCCCTACACTTGAAAAACTTGTAATGCCACTAAACATAATCTATTTGTCAAATGTTATTTAGGTGAATGTCATGTTTAAAAGTGTATTTGAAAAAGAATATAATTTCAGGAGATTAAATGTAGGTTATCATTGTTTTGAGAATGACAACATTTTTATACTACGGAACCAAGTTTTACTGAAGTACTAGTGTTTTGAAGTACTAAGGATCTTCTCAATTAATGTTTTTCTGAATTATATTTGACCTCTAAGTCAAGTTTTCCTGGTCTTGGTAGACCAATTATGGCTCTATCCTTCCAGGATCTACTTTTTTGGCCTATATACGCTGGACTGAAATCTTTCATTAATCATTAGGAGTGTGGTATAAAAATAATCTTGTGATATTTTTGATCACATTCACTCATATGGACTGGTCATCTGTAAATTGAAAGTTTGAATTACAGTACATTCTCTCAGATTTTGTGATATCATCTTTTATTTTAAGTTGCATTGCATTTCACAATTGCTTACTGAAAATTCCTTTTTTCTCAAAGAATTCGGGCCCTGAAAAATTATAGGAAATGAGAAATTGAGATGGGTCTTCAATTACTTTCTGTTGGCATGCTGCATGGGCCTAGGTGAGAAGTCTTGCTTCTGTTATTTGATGATGCAGGTAACTTGGACCTGGGATCCTAGGAACTGTGGGTCCTGCAGAAAAAAATATCTTGTAGATACCATATCAGCAAAATTTGGGTATAATCAGTAGGAATACTTCAGAAATATGGAGAAAAACTGTTTAGGACCAGCGAGTTAAAATAATAAATAGAGCAGCAGAGTAAAATACTTTATAGATTATAGGAAAACAACATTTTTTTTACCATGTGAATTCAGAAGACCAAGAGCACTTTGAAGATATCACAAGTTTGTACGAAATACATTGCATTGATACTTTTCATATTCTAATATATATTCTAAACCTAATTGTTTATATTCCAATCTATTTATTGGAATAAAGAAATATAATTTTTTGTCAAATTATCAATTATTTCTAGTAAGATTCACTGTGTGAAATATAAAATCAGCACATATAAATACAAAATATAACTATATATAATATAATAAAATGGGCACATGTTTTGCATTGTTCTGTTGTGGTTAGGGTATCAAAGGCAACTCTGTTTTAAAGTATTATTCCATTATCTCTACCTCAGTGTTTGGAGAGTTAGAAATAAAGCATTACCATTTGCAGATTTACAACCTGGACACACGAGGAAACACTCTGATTAAAACATTACCAATTTAAGGCCTAATAATGAGGAGAAACATATGGACTTCTCCTGGAGCTTTGGGAATATTTGGTGATAGAAAGGCAGTAGTGTAAGTTCCTGCCTGGTTGGATGGTTGACAGGCCAGAACATTAGGTAATCATGCATATGAACAATTTTTTCACCTTCTTGGCTTTAGCTGCTTTTGAAATGGTAGGTATATTAAATAATTGTATTTTGATAAAATACCTTCTATTCTGAACAGTTCTGTCTGAATTGTTCATCTCTCTATGATCCCTTGTAACTAATATTAGTTTAGTTTCAGTAAGACAATCTATGCTCTCAGGGTAAGATATTCTGGTTGATCTGTTGCTACATGGAAGAAGAGTAAATGGTCAGGTAGACATTTGATCCAGTAAGACCTC